GGAATTACAAGACATCAGGCCCGTCAAGGAGATGCAGCAAGAAATCAATAGGCTCACAAGATAATTGGAAAGGAAGGTGAATGAACTAGCCAGGGTGAGAGGAAGTATAACTGAGACAGCACAGAACTTTGTTCAGAGGCTTAAACAACAGAATGAAGTCTTAGAGGAGTGGAAATCACTTTGCCTTGATCAAACAGAAGGAATAAAATAATAGATGTTGAAATGTAGGTAGATAATCGATTTGGCTAACGACAAAATTCCAGAATTTGTAAGAGCATTTAAGCAAGCTGAAGGCATGGTTCCCCTTGAGGAACTCTATTAGAGATTATTGAATTCTTCCATTTGTGCCATGAAATTGTGAAAGAACTCAATAGCATGACAAAGTTCTAAATCTGTATTAACATTTGAATCATTGTTTGAGGATCCATATGATGCTTTGTGGTTGTGAAATTGTTGATTGATTTGTACTACTGTCGTTTGCTTAAAACCTTGAATTTTGATGGGATCCAATGTCCTTCTAATTCAAGGATCAACTTTAAATTCCCTATGAAATAATAAATTTCTATAGGAATTTAAAGGGTGTTAGTGTCGTGAAACCCTTATGTCTACACAATGCTGGATATCTTACGAAACAAACGTAAAGGTAAAACTTATTAAAATTAATTATTATGTTACATAGGTAAGCCACCCTAAAAGAAAAACTCGGCTGACCAGTTTCCCGCCACTCGAACATACAACACGCGATTGCGTAGTCGTGTAATGGAAAATTCAAATGTGAATGAGTTAGCAACCTTGAATGATCAGATGTCTGCAGTAGAGTCTAAAATGGCTGCAATAAATGATATAACAAAACTGCTAACAGAGACTCTAAAAGGAAGGAGTGATGATAATCCACCACAGAATATCGTAGCAAATGAGAATGCAGCTAACGAAACAATTGAGCCAAACAGAGGACCAGATCCTAAGGTACCCACACTAGAGAAACAAGATTCTAGGATAGGGGCCTTTAACATACCAAATGGTCTTAGGAAAGATCATGCCTACATGTTCCAAATCCTACAAGTGTTACACAAAGAGAAGGAGTTGAAAGAAGAACTTGGAGAAATGAAAGATCAATTGAAGGCTCTTCAAGAATCAAACATGTGGGGTTCCTTAGACTTGAAAGAATTATGTTTAACCCCAGAAATTGATGTTCCCAAGAAATTCAAGATGCTAAACTTTGATAAATATGATGGTACAAGTAACCCAATTTATCATTTGAGGGCCTATTACACAAAGATGTCCATATGGTCACAAGATGAGAAGTTTCTGATAAACTTCTTTCTCGAAAGCTTAACTGGAGCCGCATTGACTTGGTACATGCAACTAGACCAAACCAAGATTAAAAGATGAAAAGACCTTATAGATGTTTTCATGAGACAATACAAGTTCAATCTTGATACTGCTCCGACCAAAGAATAATTGAAAGCGATAACTAAGAAATCATCAGAATCATTCAAAGAATATGCTCAAAGATGGAGAATAGTGGCTTCACAAGTGCAACCTCCAATGGTGAATTCCAAACTTTGCTCATACTTCATCTGTGCATTGCCTAAGCCATTTTACCAACACATGATAGGAACACATGTCACTAATTTTGCTAATTTAATGGTAATTGGAGAAAGGATTGACACAGACATACGAAAGGGGAAGATAGCCACTTCTCAAGCTGAAAGTAGTTCACAAAAGAACTATGACCAAAAAAAGAAAGAAAGGAATGTAAACTATATTCAACCTGTAAGACAAGCAGCTACCAGTTCTCAAGTCCCTTATCAAATAGAGGGAAGGAATTAAAGACAGCAACAATTTGGATTCAGGCTTAACAAGCACGGGCAGGATGGAGAGAGGAGAAATATCCAATCCAGGGATAGTCACCCATGGCCCAATTTTAGATTAACAAATGCTAAATTGTACCATAAACTTTTGGTAGCCCAATTATTAAGCTCACGACCTTACAAGCTTCTTGGTCCGCCTTACCCAGTGTGGTATAATCCAAATGCTATTTGTGAGTACCACATGAGTGCACCTAGACACTCAATAGAAGACTGTGTGACGTTTAAAAGGAATGTGCTAGACCTGGTTGATTCTAATCATATCCAGCTCAAAGAAGAGGGAAGCTCTACCATTACCACTGATCCACTTCCAAATCACGAAAAATGAGTCAAGGCTATTGAAGAAGAGAATGCGGGTTTTAAAAGCTCTACAAGGATTAGGATGCCTATGAATGAGCTTTATGCTCACTTAAAGGAGTATGGCTATATGCAAGAAATGCTCCTCACAGATAATATCAATGATTAAATGCCTAGATACTGTGAATATCATCAGGAGAAAATGGGCCATGACATAGAACGTTGTGAAGAGTTTAAAGAAGCTATTAGAAAAATGATGGTGTTAGGGATTATGTTTGTAAAGAAGGGAGACACCAAAGTGTGCATGGTAGAAAAAAGGTGTATTGAGCTTGTCATTTAAAATTTAAGCCCAAAAGAACAACTCCAGGCAATCTCTTTTGTGATCAACAAAGCGTCTGTAGATCTTGCACCTTACACAAGACAACCAATATTGACCATAAGCACGCCTCATCCCTTTCCCTATGAAAGTGATCGAGCAGTCCCGTGGAGATATCAAAGCATTGTGGAGAACCATAAAGACCTAATGTTGATTGCTAAGACAAGCAATGAAATAGCAAACCCAAGGGGTGTTACTCGAAGTGAAAAACCATGCTTACCATCTTACATTAGGAAAATGGTAAGAGAGAAAAATGCAAATGTTGATAGGCCAAAGGAGCATAATCCTAAAGAAATGGAAAAATTAGAAGATGAGTTTTTATCGATTATGAAGCAAAGTGATTACAGCATTGTGGACCAATTAAAGAAAACTCCAGCACGTATCTCAATACTTTTTCTGATTTTGAATTTTGAAGCGTATTGCCAAGCATTGCAAGAAGTGTTGAATCAAGCTTTTGTGCAGCCTAATATAACCCTTGAGAAGGTGGCAAGTGTAATGAATGTTGTAAAAGCCATCTCTACCATTTCCTTTTTCGAAGAGGAAGTTACAGAAACTGCTGTCCACCAAACCAAGGCTTTGTATATCACTTTGAAATGTGAAAGGTTCATAATCACAAGAGTATTAATTGATGGAGGATCAATATTAAATGTCTTGCCGCTCTCCACATTTGAATCATTATCGCTAGAAGCTTCAAGTGTACACAAAAGTAATATTATGGTAAGAGCATTCGATGGATCAAGACGAGAAGTATTAAGATCTATTTGTCTCTCCCTGAAGATAGGACCAAGCATGTTTAAGGTGGATTTCCAACTCATGAACATAGATCCAAGCTACACAATGCTGCTAGGAAGGCCATGGATTCATTCTGCTAGGGCTGTTCCTTCTACCCTACACCAAAAGGTTAAGTTCATCAGTGATAGGGGAATTATAGCAATTAAAAGAGAGGAGGAAATCATGGTGAGCAAACCAAGCTCAGTCCCTTATATTGAGGCTACAAAGAAGGATCATGGAGTTTCCTTTTAAGGCTTAAAGGTTGAGGGTATTTGTGACAATACTCATAACATCAATTTTGTTGTGGCTAAAATCATGACGAAGAGTGGGTTTATGCCAGGGAAAGGTTTAGGCTCTCATTTACAAGGAATTATGTGTCCAATGAAGGTTTTGGATAATTGTAATCGCCAAGGGTTAGGGTATGAGCCTACCCTAGAAGACCAGATAGAAGATAAAGCAAGTTTGGCGAAAGGCAAAAAGGCTAGTAAATTGGAGATTCCACACATCAAAGAATCCTTCCCAGGCCCGTCCAAGGTGATATGTGAACCAACTGTCTCAATGATCTCTTCTAATAAAGATATAGCATGTGGAACAAGTGCCTCAATTGCAATCGATGATTCCAGCAAAGTTTTGGCGAATTGGGAGTTTGAAGAGGCTAATGATGTCATTAGCTTAGAGTAATTGTTTCAATTATGTTATTCCTATTTTGTTATCCACTTTTGAGCCCAGGTTTAGGTAATAGATCTTGGGTATTCTCTAATGCAAACTTTTAATGCACGTAATTTATGAAAATAAATTTCAATTGCATTCATGTTTATCTCTTTATTCCACCCTATCTACTTTAATACATTTTTCCCCATTTCATTCCTGTTCCTTATTTTTATCTTATTCCATATTCATCATCCAGGGATTTTATTTCGTCTGATCCCATCTCTCACCCAGAGGTTAATAAACCCTATAAAGATGATTCACTCATTGCCACTTATATGTATTATTTTGAGTCTGATGATGAAGACATAATCTAAACTTTTTCTAAGATGCTTGAATTGGGTGATAAGAGAATATGCCCACATGAAGAAGTGATTGAGATGGTTAATACGGGAACCGAGGAGGATCAAAGAATGCTCAAAATAGTAGATAATCCTGAAAGGGAACAAATGATTGAGTTGTTTAAAGAATATATAGATGTGTTTGCATGGTCTTATAAAGATATGCCTAGGCTAGACCTAAGCATTGCTTCTCATAAAATACCATTACTTCCCAAGGTTGACCCTAAGAAACAGAAGTTAAGGAGAATGAATACGAGGGTGTCCTTGCAAATAAAAGAAGAAGTAATAAAGCAGTTATAAGCAGGATTTTTGGAGGTAGTAACTTACCTATAATGGGTGGCAAATATTGTTCCTGTTCCTAAAAAAGATGGTCGAATTCGAATGTGTGTTGATTATCATAATTTAAATAATGCGAGCCTGAAAGATAATTTTCTATTACCCCATATTGATGTATTGGTCGATAATACTGCTCAAAGCTATCGCTATTCCTTTATGGATGGTTATTCAGGGTACAATCAAATCCCTATGCATGAAAGAGATAAAGAGAAAATAACCTTTACAACCTAATAGGGAACTTATTGTTATCAAGTGATGCCTTTTGGTTTGAAAAATACTGGGGCAACTTATCAACGAGCTATGGTAGCACTATTCCATAACATGATGCATAAAGAAATTGAAGTATATGTAGATGATATGGTAGCTAAATCAGTAGAGAATGAGAGTCATGTTGGAGTCCTTAGAAAGCTATTTATGAGATTGCATGAATATCAGCTAAGATTGAATCCTAACGAATGCATCTTTGGAGCTCTTTCTGGGAAGTTATTGGGATTCATTATGAGTTGTAAAGGGATAGAAGTAGATCCAAATAAAGTGAGGGCAATTCAAGAAATGCCATCTCCCCAAATAGAGAAAGAAGTTAGAAGTTTCTTGGGACGATTGAATTACATTGCTAGATTCATTGCCAATCTAACAGCTACTTGTGAACTGATGTTTAAGCTGTTAAAGAAAAATTGCAAGGAGACATGGGATGATGATTGTCAAAAGGCCTTTGATAAAATTAAAGATTATTTGTTAAATCCCTCAATTTTAGTCCCTCCATCACTAGATCGCCCACTAATCCTTTACTTGGCAACTTTACCTCGCTTAATGGGAGCAATGCTAGGTCAACATGATGATTCTGGAAAGAAGGAAAGAGCAATTTTTTTCTTGAGCAAGAAGTTTAACGAGTGTGAAGCTCGTTATCCAATGATTGAGTGAACTTGTTGTGGACTAGTATGGGCAACTAGAAGGCTAAGGCAATACATGATTTACTATACTACCTGGCTAATCTCGCGAGTGGACCCACTCAAGTACATCTTTAAGAGCCCGCACATTGCAGGTAGAGTACTAAAATGGCAAGTTGTACTATCTGAATATGATATAAAGCTTGTGATGCAAAAGTCAGTTAAAGGTAGTGCGATAGTAGATCACTTGGCCGATAATCCTTTAAAGGATGACCAACCATTAGATTTTCAATTTCTTGATGAAGGCATATGCACTATAGAAGAAGGTTATGATGAAGGAAATGATAAAGAGAAAGAATGGGAAATGTATTTTGATGGAGCCACCAATATGCATGGAAATGGGGTAGGAGCGGTGATCGTTTCACCAGAAGGAAAACAATTTCTAGTGGCCATCAAATTAGAATTTGATTGTACTAACAACATAGTAGAATATGAAGCTTGTGTTAATGGTCTTCGAGCAGCTATTACCCTTGGTATACAGTGTTTGAAGGTATTTGGTGATTCAACTCTCATTATTCATCAAGTAATAGGAGAATGGAGAATAAAGGATGTAAAATTGTTTCCCTATCAAGAACTCCTAACAGATTTGATTAAGCAATTTAAGGTTGTTAGCTTTCATCACTTGACTCGAGATAAAAACTGTTTCATTGATGCTTTAGCCACTTTAACAGTAATGATCTAACTTGATTGTGGAGTCCATGTCCAACCCATTCAAGTAGAAGCTAGAAGCTTTCCAACATACTGTCTGAATGTTGAAGACGGTCAAGAAGAATATCCTTGGTTCCAGGATATTAAGGACTATATCACTAAGAGATCATACCTAACTGGAATGACTGAGAATGAAAAGAAAACCCTTCATCATTTGGCTATGACATTCTTTATCAGTAAAGATGTTTTATACAAGAGGGGTTATGATGGTACCTTACTTCGCTGTGTGAGTTCGAAAGAAGCAAAGAAAATCATGGTTGAGGTACACGAGGGCATATGTGGCACGCATGCGAATGGTCACACTATGGCCAAACAGATTTAAAAGTTCGAAAGAAGCAAAGAAAATCATGGTTGAGGTACACGAGGGCATATGTGGCACGCATGTGAATGGTCACACTATGGCCAAACAGATTCAAAGATATGGCTACTTCTAGTTAACAATAGAGAAAGATTGCTTTGAGCATGTCAAGAAATACCACAAATGTCAGATTTATGCTAATAGGATAAATGCTCCTCCAATCCTATTACATAATTTGGTATCACCTTGGCCATTCTCAACGTGGGGAATTGATATTATTGGTCCAATTAACCCAAAAGCTTCGAATAGACATCGCTTTATCTTTGTCACGATTGACTATTTCACAAAATGGGTAGAAGCAAATTCATTTGCTAGCATCACACAAAAGACGTTCCTTAAATTCATGAAGATAAATATTTTGTGCTGATATGGGATTCCTGAAAGGATCATTACTGATAATGGTCCCAATCTCAATGGAACAGAAGTCAGAAACTTTTGCAAAAGTTCCAAATCAAGCATCACAATTCAGCCCCATATAGACCTTAAATGAATGGAGTAGTTGAAGCAGCCAATAAAAATATTAAAAAGGTTATTGAAAAAATGACAGTAACTTATAAGGATTGGCATGAGATGCTTCCCTATACTTTACATGGTTATTGTACTACTATACGCACATCCATAGGGGTAACCCCATACTCCCTTGTTTATGGAATGGAAGCTATCACACCCATTGAGATGGAAATACCATCCTTGAGAGTATTGGCAGAGGTAGATTTAGAAGAAAATGAATGGATACGAACCCAATTTGAGCAACTTAACATGATTGAAGAGAAAAGGCTCACTGCAATGTGTCATGGACAATTGTACCAAAAGAAAATAGCAAGAGCTTTTGATAAAAAACTTCACCCACAAGAATTCAGTTCTGGTGATCTTGTACTCAAGAAAATACTGCCTAACTAAGAAGATAATAGAGGCAAATGGTCTCCGACTTATGAGGGACCTCATGTTGTTAAACATGCCTTTTATGAAGGAGCATTGATCCTAACTGACATGGACAGTCAAGAGTTAGTAAAGCCCATTAATGCAGATGCTGTCAAGCATTACTTTGCTTAAGCAGAAAATGAAAAAGAAAGAAGCGCTCGCTAGGTTGAAAACCTATAAAGGCAACCTAGGCAAAAGTTAGAGCCAATAGAAAATGAAGAGGAAAGAATAGCTCGTTGGGTTGAAAACTTGTAAAGGCAACCTAAGCAAAAGTTAAAGCAAAGAACAAGCAAAGCAATGATAAGAAGAAGAAGAGTTCACCAAGGATGTCTTAGGAGAAGAAAAGGAAAGCATAAGAAGTTAAGTATCTATGTTTGGGAAAGTTGACTCCATCGTCTCTCACACTATACATATCAATGGTAGCTCAGTGAAGCACTTGTTGGGGTTTTTAAAAGTTAAAGGAGAGAGACGTGATTAAGTGAATCCATATATCCCATTTGCGCTTTGGCCATTTGTACTCATAAACCAAGATATTCCTATTTCTCTATGAATTTTGGCATCAGAGAATGAATTTTTCCGCCCTTGCTCCTTTGAGACCATCTTTCTTCTCTTTTCATATTATCATATTCGAATTCATATCTCATATATTACAGCAAGTTCACATTCAAGAAACAATATTTATTGATACATTTACTTGATGTAGAATGCTGGTATCTTTATTCTTGCTTTTTGCCCTTGAGGTATCAAGATCATCGCATAGGTGTAAAATGATAACGAAAGCACGTGTGCTATCAGTATTCAGTCATAATGGTTGATCTCATTAACATGAAGGCAAGATCAAGTGACGAGAATTTGGTCATTTGAATTTTCTAAAGAGGGGCAACGGCATACTGTGATACTACACCTATTAATGAATAAAGGTTAAATAATGGACTTAGAGGTATTACCTTGTGTTCAAAATGATTTATTCAATATGCACGAAAATTTTCAAAAAGGAATATATATTAAGATAATTGTCAACATCAAGCCTTCCAATAAAAATTTTTACAATACATTTGCATTATTCATGCATTTGCATTGGGGCAAATAAGCACGTCTTACCTTTTGTATTTATCACAAAAAGAAGTCTCATAAATTGAGACAAATAAAGGTTCAAACCTTTTACATTACAAATCATCCATCCATGGCATATTATATATATTTTTAGCACCTATGAAAAAATCATACATGGCGCATTACTACATTGCATTCCTTGTCATAGAAATATGCCTCATTTGGATTGGGGCAAAGAAAAATTTAAAAAAAAACCTGAGGAAGTAAGAGAAGAAATAACAAACCTCACCTGTGAGTTTCTCAGATCTTCTACGTGAGGTAGAACCTATTCTCACACCCCAAAAGCCTAGTACCAGCTGGCACGATTCTTTAAAGCCCTGTAACGGCAGGTACCCTAAAGCCCAGTATCGGCTGGTATGATTCTTTAAAAGCCTTGTAACGGCAGGCACCCCAAAGCCCTGTACCAGCTGGCATGATTCTTTAAAGGCCTGTAACGGCAGGCACCCTCAAAGCACTGTCATTGCAGGCACCCCAAGGCCCAGTACTGGTTGGCACAATTCTTTAAAGCCCTGTAACGGCAGGCACCCCAAAGCTCAATACCGGCTAGCACAATTCTTTAAAAGCCCTGTAACGGCAGGCACCCCAAAGCCCTGTAATGGTAGGCACCCTAAAGCCCAGTACCGGTAGGCACGATTCTTTAAAATTCCTGTAATGGCAGGCACCCCAAAGCCTTGTCACGGCAGGCAACCCAAATGACCAGTACCGACTGGCACAATTCTTTAAAGCCCTGTAACGGCAGGCACCCTAAAGCCTTGTAACAGCAAGCACTCTAAAGCCCAGTACTAACTGGCACAATTCTTTAAAGCCCTGTAATGGCAGGCACCCTCAAAGCCCTATCACAGCAGGCACCCCAAAGCCCAGTACCGGCTGGCACAATTCTTTAAAGCCCTGTAACAGTAGGCGCCCCAAAGCCCAATACCAGCTGGCACGATTCTTTAAAAGCCCTATTACGGCAGGCACCTCAAAGCCCAGTACCAGCTGGCATGATTCTTTAAAAGCCCTATTACGGCAGGCACCCCAAAGTCCAGTACCAACTGGCACAATTCTTTAAAAGCCCTGTTACGACAGGCACCCCAAAGCCCAGTACCAGCTAGCACGATTCTTTAAAAGCCCTGTTATGGTAGGCACCCCAAAGCCCAGTACCGGTTGGCATGATTCTTTAAAGCCCTGTCACGGCAGGCACCCTCCAAGCCTTGTACAAGCACGCATCCACCAGGTCCTTTGGAACATAGGGAATTTATCTCCATTGAGGTGTTGTTTTGTTTATTTCCGAAATCATATTAGATTTTAAACCCTTTGATTTATTTTGTTTTATTTTGTTTAGTTATAGGTACTTAAGAGTCTTGCCTCTCCAACCAAAATACATGTTTCTCTCTTCATTCATTTCTAAGATAAGAATATCATCACATGAAATTGTCACTTAGAAATCAAATGAAAAGGGGGCATCTAATCAACATATATTTTGTTTGGATCGTTGTCATTTAATCATTTTCATTTGCATTACATTGCTAAAAAAAATCAAAATCAAAAATCATTTTACTATGTTTTTATCCAATAGTCTTGCATTCTTTTATGTTATTTGGTTATTTTCATTTGCATCATATTGCTAAAAAAAATCATGTCATTGTGTTGGTTAAGCAATAGCCTTGCATTTAATTATATCTTGTCGTGTCAGGGGCAATTAGGTCTTTTCATAGATATTGCATGGCCGACCAAAATACATGTTATATCTTTACTTGTCACTTATGTAAGAATTCAAAAACACACTTTTTCATATACTTACATAAGAAACAAGTAAAGAGGGGCAACTGTGAATACCATATTTTGTCCGGACATTTTTTTTAAATTTAATAATAAATAATTAAAAAAATATAAAAATACAAAAATGAAATTTAATCATTTTTAAGATTAAACCTTAAATAAAAATAAAAAAAATATTGTTTAAATATTTTAAAATCTCTCTCTAAATTATTTTACTGTGTTTTTATCCAATAGTCTTGCATTCTTTTATGTTATTTGGTTATTTTCATTTGCATCATATTGCTAAAAAAAATCATGTCATTGTGTTGGTTAAGCAATAGCCTTGCATTTAATTATATCTTGTCGTGTCAGGGGTAATTAGGTCTTTTCATAGATATTGCATGGCCGACCAAAATACATGTTATATCTTTACTTGTCACTTATGTAAGAATTCAAAAACACACTTTTTCATATACTTACATAAGAAACAAGTAAAGAGGGGCAACTGTGAATACCATATTTTGTCCGGACATTTTTTTTAAATTTAATAATAAATAATTATAAAAATATAAAAATACAAAAATGAAATTTAATCATTTTTAAGATTAAACCTTAAATAAAAATAAAAAAAATATTGTTTAAATATTTTAAAATCTCTCTCTAAATTATCCCAATCATTTAAAAATATTGGAGAATCAACTTTTGAGAGTTAATTTTTTTTTCTTTTCTTTCTTTAATCTTATTGTTTTTCAAAAAAAAATAGAGAGAAATATTCTAGTTTAACTCAAAATTAATTTCTTTTTTTTCTTTCCTTTCTTTCTTCTTCCTCTTAATCTAATTCTTAAAGTTAATAAACAAAAAAAGGGAAGAGCAGAACGTGCATGTTGCATAGGCTGGAGAGAGGAAATGAGAAAAGAAGTAGACTGCTGTACACACACACACACTTTTCAGCCATGTAGCAGAAACAGAAATACAAAAACACAGAGACAGCAAATGAGAGACCAAATGCAGAAATGCAAAAAGCAGGCACATAGCAAATGACAACAATAACAAGAAGCCTTTATCCCACTAGGTGGGGTTAGCTACATAGATTGCAAGATACCATTGTGCTCTATCATTTATCAAGCTTTTAGGAATATTATTAATTAACAGATCGCGTTCAACAACTTTCAAGAGTGTTCTCTTAGGCC